TATATGTATATAGGGTATTTCGCATAACTGAAGCTGTTGGACATTGTTGAAACGAGTGAAGATGTGAGAAAATTTCAAGGTGTAACGAAATTAAATCAAACGACGAACGCCAGGCAGGTAAGTGCCTGAGCAATTTGGTTTTGTGCGTTACTCAAATAATATATCTCAAAAATGATGAATTGAACAATATATCATCTTGTTCGAGTATGTATGCAATTTAGTTGCAAAATCACGAGAAGAAAAACCAAGGGCGATTTCATCCATCGTCATTTAAAGGCGTGATGGAATGTTTTGAAAATTCATATTTAAAAAAGTTACTATCTATCATTGTGGGGCAATTTTTTAAAGAAATCATTATTCTTAGCTTCATAGATAAAATGGAAGAGGTTTCTGTAAAAAGAGCTAATATTTAAAAGAGGCTGATACTTGGATAAATCAAGTATTTAATTTTAAAATATCATTTACAAGACTATAAATTTTAATTGATTTTTATTTAATAATATTATATATATATATATATTTATGTTGTTATGTCATATACATATTATACATTAATTTAATTTAATTGATATTTATTTAAATGTCGTGTATATTCGATTTCAGAATATAATTAATTACATTAAAGTATATAAAAGAGTACAGTGACCATTAAAGTATATAAAAGTATATAAGGTATATAAAATATATAAAAGAGTACAGTTTTGGTAAAGATTCAATTTAATATGGTCAAAGTGACCAATTTATAATTTTTATTGGAAATTTTATAAACATAAAATTGATTTTCAGAAATTTAAATGATTTTTCGTAAAATATGTAAATAAAAGTTCGTGTAATTTGTTGTATCACAAGCTCTTCTGTTTACGTTTTTACATTAATGTGTAGATTTCTGATGGAAATTTTATGCTTTAGTCATCAACAGTTCTAATGTTAATGTCACAGTGTCATTCTAACAGCTTTTTCAGGGATATTTTCTCGCGTTTAATATCATGCACGTATTAAAATCAATCTAACACGAAACGATATGTAAAAACTGGTTTACATTCGGTAGTATTTTATTCGCTTATCCTTAAACGATAAAGTTATACGATAGCCACACGTACGATCCATTCTGAAACTCGCTTATCACGTATTAGAGCAACTTTCACTCGTGTACGAATTAGAGCAACTTTTTCACAGACAGTGAAAATTTTCTCTTATTGCAAATTAACAACCACTCTTACCAGTCAATATGTATTAGACTATTCGAAAAATTTGTAGCATTTTTATAATTCTGGTAAAATATTAACGAATTTGTGACGTTTCTTTCATTTAATGTTTATCATTGAATTTTGTTTCTAATCGCGAAAAGAAACTCAAGTTGAAATTTTTATATTTATAATATATATAATATATAGTATTTATATAATATATATAATAATATATATAATATATTGTATATATTTTTTATTCTTTTTTTCTTTCTCAATTTTACAATTTTATAAGAAACTGGAGTATTTATCATGCTACTTTATCTGTTGATTAAAATTCGATAAATTCAGATTTTAGCAATATACAAATTTTGTATATTAATAAAACGCAAATTAAGAATATGTATGTCTTCTAACTAAAATGTTCTAAAATGATTGTTCGTCTTAAAACCTACTTTGATTACATAAATAAATAATAAATAATAATACTATAAATACACAATATAATTATAATACAACTATTTTAAAGAAATCATTATTGAAAACTAATTACATATTCAGAATAGTGGATGGAGACAAATTCATTAAATGGTAAAACAATTCCTAAAGAAACGATATACATATGTATAAATTATTTAATAAAATTCGAATAATAAAGAGTAACAATAAAATTCTAAACCGATTGTTCTATAAAAACACGCTATCTTTCACTCTTAAATAGTATCACTGAGTCATAGATTACTATATTAGTTTAGATTATTAATTATGTACTAAGATTCAGAATATTTTATATTTTCCAGTGATCGATAATAAAATCATATTAAAAATTCTACTTTTATTAAAAGATTAAAAATTTCATTTAAACAACTAACTCTAAACTGTTCACAATGGCCCAATGATACCAACACATCGACCAACTTTCTATGAATATTTTAGAATGATTTAAATAAAATAAATTTAAATAAAACATGAATAAAAATTGCTCTTCCATCGCACGTTTATTATACCATAAAGTTTCGTCAAAATTAATCGTTCCACCTCATAGACAAAACCTGTATAATATGATTTTCACACGACAGTCAGAATGTCAAATAATCAAATTCTTAAATTTTGCTGCATATTCTTCCAACAATTCAAATATATATCGTATTTATTAAAACTGATAATTCCGTTCGGAAGAAAACGAAAAATTGAAGCTAGCGCGATAAACGCGAAGGAAAGAAAAGGAAAGGAAGAAAAGCAAAACAAAGCAAAGGAAAGGCAAAAGAGACGAGAGTCGCGGGCAAAAGCAAAGGCACACATACCTGAACAAGTCGCTTCGCGTCGCTGCGATCGCGATTGTCGGGGCCCCACGGCTATGTTAGGTCCCCGCATTCCACCTGTCAGAAGGTGGGTCCGCTCTCTCACGGGCCGTAAAGGAAGCAAAGAGCTCACTAACGGCAGAAAACGAATCGCGCAACGAAACACTATTTCCTAACTGTCACGGCGACCACCTTTGTGAACTGACCATTTTCAATATGGCTGTGTGCCGATACAGGTCCAATTCCACAATATTTACGTACCTCTTTAATGTCCATTTTCCGCTAACGATTCGCACTGCATTCCTGACTCGATGGTAGGGAAAATTCCTTAGCTAGAAATGCTCAAGTCGGCACAGCTGTTGGTGTTCGAGGATTTTCACGTCTCGGGCGAATAATCTGAAGTGTGTTCGCCAAACACACCAGACAGATCCTGCGTGAATATACGCGAGAAGCACGCGTGGGTCCGGAATGTAAACGGACGTGGACAGCTATCGAAAAATCGAGAATCGATCGAGCGTAGTCCAACTTCACGATCACTGCGCGATCACGATCGATAACGTGACACGGCCCCGTATCGAAACGAACAATCCTACGGGATATCTCGCGAAACAAAAGTCCAAACAAATTGCTGCCCGAGCAACGATCTCCACAACATAACTGGACACCAGTAGGTAGGGGAACTGATCCGGAGAACGAGTGCTGGAAGCCTCGGCGACGAGAGGAAAGACGTAGGATGCCGGTAGAGGGAGGAAGGGCGGAATCAACAGGAGGGGGAAGACTTCACTGTCCTGATCGTGTAGAAGGATGCTCGGTAGGCGTTAGGGCTCACCGCAATTCTATATATATATATATGTAGTAGCCTCACTGTACACACGTGAATGTAATTGAAATATCCTTCTTTCCTTTCAGTCCCTTTTCTTTTTTCCTTACTTACTACCGCGTGTAAGCACCTGCGATTATATTTTTGCCTTGCCACTGTCGCTTCTCAGTGTCTCGCAATTTCGTTTCTCTAATTGTTTACACTTTTTCTTCACGCCTTTTTCTTGACTTCTATATTTTGTCGTTTCCTTTTTTTTTTACATTGTTGTATGGAAGATTGTTAAGATTGTTGAGACCAAACGTACTGACGTATGTTGTTAATAAGTTATTATATTGATCATATTGTAGAGTATAACTGGGAAAATTGAAAGTGGAAGTCTCGAAATTATATTAGTAAGATTTAAATATAATTTAATGATATATGTAAATATATCATCCATGATAATAATATACAGTGTTTATAGTACATTACAGATCATCAATCATATACAAATATTTAAGCATTTGAAGGTGAACGATGTTTGGAATGAATCTTCACCGTAAATAGAATGATTTACAAATTTAATTGATGCTAACCGTAAGACATTGATTATAAGTTTCTTGGAAAAATAATGATTTCTTGGAAAATAATATTTGAATTAACTTGTTAGATACATTTTTAAAAAAATAACTTTATTTTATGTTAAGAGTGAATAATCATTTATATATCATTTATGAATAATCGTTCATAAAATTTTAAATCAAGTAACATTTGCAAATAAAATAACTATTAATTTAAACTTTAGATATTGTATGTTACATTATTGTATAGTATTTGTTGTTAGAAATATTTTCAATTATTCTTGGATAATGAAAATATGAATTAAGTTCGTATTTCTGAAATGGAAAAACAACATTACAAAATAAAGTATAGAAGTCTGTTATAATAGCATTGTATAGGATTATATGACAGCCAATAATATCGGAAATTCGACATTTATTGATGGAATTTCAATATTACAAAAAACTTCTCTATATTAAAAAGATTACATCTGTTATTACAATTTTATTTCTAACGAAATGACGATCCATAATATATATATATATATTGCATGAATCATTAGTAGACATTATATAATACACTCACATGCAAAGTACTCCACTACTTTTATGCATTTGTAAGAAATTTTGAAGACGTAAAAATATGCATAGAATATGTAAATACTATATGTATGAAATATAGAAAATAGAGTACCTACTTGTTATAATATTTAGTAATGGAAACTGCTTCGATTTTGTTCATAAAAATTCGAAATTCATCCACTTCAGCATCTCGTAAAATAATTAAATAATTTTAGTAATCAAAGAGAAATAATTTTAAAAAATTTCAGAAATAATTCTATTGACATAAACATGAAAAAAATTATTTCATAGTGTAGAATGTAGAATATTGTCTTAGAAGCATCGTTATAATCAAAGACGCTCAATATAAATTAATATGACAAATTAATCTATGTATCTAAACACCATATTAAAATAATATGCGTTTCAATCATTATTTATTTGCATTTTCTGATGATTCGTACTTGTAACGCATTAAAAATATATATGTCGTTCAATTATTTTATAATTTTACCAACAATATAATAGGTATCGCATTGTTTTTGATTTAACATACACTTTACATATTCCACTTATTAAAAGTTACAAATGTTCATTTACTTTCATGACCCACTGTACATATAAGTATATATACAAACCATATAAAAAGTTGAAGTAATGAGGATACGAGCCCATATGAATAACGGTATAGTGACACAGGTTTGTAAATAGTTCGATATTTTTTCTGCTGTTCAATTTAGCGATTGACTACAAAATAGAAATTAAATGAATACTAAATGAAATATTAATTTCGGTTAATTAATTATAGTTTTCATGATAAATAAATACGTACATTTGAATTTCAGAATAAAATGCTTTATTCGTTGTGGATAGTTACGGCAAATTCATTTTTATTGCATTCTTATAGAACTTATTTGTGTATATACTAAATTTAAATTTAATATTTTGTGTATATATTAAAATTAAAAGTAATATCTTGGTCGAAAATAAACCATTTCGTAATTTTTTATTTCAAAAGAAATGACAAACGAATTTACTGATAATGATTGTCCTTTAAATAATTTTTTAATTACACATTATATAGTTTAGCACGTATGAAATTTAATATAAAAATATAGATCTATACGTGTCATTGATTGATTCAATACAGAAATATAAATCTTTTTTTATTATTATTATTTCCTTCTCAATAACGAACACAGAAAATACTTTTTATACTCTTATTAATTAAAATTTATCCTTACTTTCCGTTTCGCTTATCTTTTAACTGCAATCTATATTCATCCTATTCTTTCCTTTTCGCTTTAATCACGAATGATTCTTTTTTAGAATATTTTAAATTTCAGTTCATCCGTGCTACAACGATAAAACTTTTAGTATTTCTATACTATAAAAAATATGTGAAAAGATTCAGTTTTTTAAATTTATTAAATATATAACATATATTTATAGTTATTTATAAAAATTAATTAATGGAACAATTCTGTGAAATTAATAATTATAGAATTAATATTAGAAAATACTCGATTTTTTGACAGAATTGGACTAAAAGTTAATTCATTATTTCGTATCTTTAAACTTGAGAAACATTTAAAAATGCATTTTACACAAAACATCTGTGTTGTTGCAACAAAAAGCAAAGTTTCAGTCTTGAGATTAATGCAAAAAGTACCAAATGGTTCGCGTGATCGTATGCATTCGTGACATGAGAAGAAATATTTGAATTGTCATCACCGAGTACACTGCAAAATTACATAATAATTCCTTTTACGATTGAGGTCAATCGCGTTGCGTAAAAGAATCTCTGCGTTTATTGCGCCCTAGCTACTTCTAAGCGCGCGATTTATGCTGATTTCCAAAGATAGGAAATAGGAAATTTAAATTTAAATTTAACATGCGATGCCAAATGTAAATAAATGATATAATAATTATGTATAAATAATATAAATTCATATTATATGAATAAATGATACAATAATGATATTCAATATAAATATCATGTAATTTAAAATCTTTTAGAAATTACTTTATGATTTAATTAAGCTCCGCAATGTGTAAATGTAGCAAAAATTGTATGCAATATTCAAATAAAGCTACATACTTTTATATTTTTAAATTTAATTTCATGATAAAGTAACGACACATTTTATCGTACACAACGAGTAATTTGTTATACATATTTATATTGTAAAACTATGATATATTTTTTAAGTATACGATTATTTCTTTATTTAAAATTCAGTTTTCAAATTTTTTTTTTATAAACCTGAATATATTAGAATATATATAATTTGATAGTGTATATATATATATATATATATGTATATATTTGCAGCACGTACATACATATATACTTCACAGTTAAATTCCTTTACAGCTTACAGTTAACCTCACTTTTGAATTTGTTGAAAACACGTGGACCGTTATAGAAATAAAATGACAACAGTAATGGAATTAATTAATTTTTTTGATCACGATTCAAAAGAGTATAAAGAATTTTTACAACACTTAATATGTTTTAATGGAGATGTACCATTTGACATAGAAGAGGTAAAATTATATTTTTGAAAGTAACCTTATATTTGAAAAAAAATACCATTTTTTGTATAATTTAATATTATTTTTATGTTTAGGTTGATAAAGCACAGAGTGCTATCATATCAACTATAAATACTTGTTTAAATCAATCACAGTCTCGACATAATGGGTTATTAATTTTGGATAAAATTTTGCCACAATGCTCGAATGATGTTTTTTCAAAACATTGCATGTTATGGATATCAAAAGCTACTCAAGTATTAGAAAGTATTCATAGTGACCCGCAAGAATTATCCATCTCTTGTAAAATTCTTGGATATTTGATCATTAAGTCAAAAGATATTTCAGACATACAAAAACAAGTGTCTATGCAAAATGTAAAACAACTTATTAACATAATTAGTAATTTGAATACAGAGAAAAAATGTGGTCCAATATATTATTTAATTGCAATACTACTATATCAATATCCAGAAGTTTGTGAACGTTTTCAGGTATAAAATTTTTTTCATTATTACAGAATAATAATGTATATACTATATATTATCAGCTATATTTACTTATTATCAAATATTTTGATATAGATTTCCATAAAGAAGATTATACTGTTGCAAGTAGATTCTTCTCAAGAAAATCTAGTTAACTCAAGTGCAAAATGTTTTGCTCTTTTAGTAAAAGCAACAGAACGTTCATTTAAACCTCCTCCTTTGAAACCAAATTATACTAATACAACGTATCATCATGCACTTATTTGTAATAATTTACATGTAATAATGGATGAATTATTTTCTGATTTAATAGAATTAGAAAATGTGAGCATATGGGATAAACTGGAATTACCTGTTATATCTCAAGAAAATGTTGTTCAATTCTATTTTACACAAAAACAAAGATTTTTGAATTTGTGTACTTATTTATCATTTATGTTGCGGTAAGAACATAGTTTAAAAATATCAGTTTGTGTAATATATTAGGAGATTATTTAAATAATTTCAATTTTACAGTGGATTTGATAAAAAAAATTCAGTATTACCGCATGACATTTTGAAGGTTTTATGTAGAGGACTAGCAATACAACCATCAAATATACAGAATCAAAATTCTGTTAGAGAACAGATTTTATATCTTATTTTACCAAAACTACATATTGCTTTATTCAGTATTTTAGATGCACTAATAAATGGGTAAGAATATCGTAACTTTAAAATAGTAAACTATACTTAAAATTGTGAAATTATATGAGTTTAAAATATGTAGATTTAAAGAGCAATTAATACCATTTGGATCAATAATATTGCAACTGTTTCTTCAAACATTACAATGGACAAAAAATACTTCAGAAAACCAAATAACAATTAGTGGAAACAAACCATTTAGAAATGTAAGAATATCTGCTTATAAATGTCTAAACTCTTGGTTAATGAATACTAATTCGTTATCTGGTATAGAGACAGTTGCAGGTGAATATCTTTCTTCTATATTAAAAGATATAGTACCAGAGAAAGATCGTGTTTTACTGACTGTAAGTGTATAACAAGATTTTATTTTATTTTGATATAATAACAATTTTATAAATATTTCTTAATGTATAAATTATTGTTACAGCTTCAAAAAACACAAAATTTATCAAAAAGAGCGTTAAAACGTCTTCGAGATAGTCAATATGAGAAGGGTACCTATTTGAATAATGGGATTGGTTCTAGTAAAGAACATTATCCAGATACAGATGTATGTAAAGTGGCTCTGAATATATTACAAAATATATTTTTTAATAGTGGAACTCTTCTAAAACAAACATTCTTTAAGGTAAAGTTTTAATTTTCACTTTCATTATGAGGTTTGATGTTGGGTATAATAATTATATTTATTTTAGACTGTACAAAATACCATAATACCTTTGTTGTATGACTGCTATTTAAGTGCAACTGACGAAAAATTTTATAAAGAATATCCTGACTGTCGTTTATTATTATTCAGAGTTTTAAGAGCTTTGCAAATGAATCCACATTCTTCATCACCTTTACCTACGCAATATTCTCTAGAATTATTTGAAATGGCTTTGAATGATAATGATTTACACATTGTTCAAGAAGCTAAAGTGACATTGGCAGAACTTGAAAAAATCATACATCCTCATGCTCCACCACTTCAATTAACTCAAGTAGAGTAAGTTTTAAGAGTTCATATATTTACTTAGAAATATTAATATCAATATTGAAAAATTTAGATTTTAAATGAAAATTATATTTATTTTTCAGAACTATACAAAAAGAATTTGTTACTGATGGGCAAATCGTACAAAAAAATAATACAATGGAAAATGTAGTTTCGCCCATTGTTAAAATTGTTATAAATGAAGATGAAGAATCTTTGCCAAATAAAAAATTAAAAGTTACAAATTCTAGCGAAACGGTTGAACCCAAAACACAAAACACCGCAGAAGACAAACTTCATATTACACAAATAAATCAAGATATTATAGAGAAAGAAGATAATACGACAAAAAAACAAATGACAGTCACAATACAAAATGAAAATATTGAAGTTGAGAAAGTTTGTGACAAATCAGTAAATAGAACTATTCCAACCTTAATTGTGACAGATACAGAAATTCCGCGATCAACATCACCACTGAACATTATTAAACAAACTGACACTGATATTTTCGTTGAAACAATGGATACAACAGAAGATAATCCTAACTCAGATACCAATTCTAAAATATCTGATCTAAATGAAGAACATTTAGATCAACAAGAGAAAGAAAAAGAGGAGGAAGAAATATTACAATTATTTCAGGATATACCAAAAAATGATAATTAATTATAGTCGTTTGGAATATTTTAAATTCAAAATAAATGTATTGTTATTTTATATCTTTCATACATCAAACATACGTAAATATATTTTAATTTCAAAATGTAATATTTCAACATTATATTTGTAAATTATAAGTGAAACATGCTTCGAGATATAGGTGTCTTATATTTTGTATTTTCCATTAAATCGTCAATTTTTGGGGCTTTTATTTTGTTTTTTGAAACAGTAAAATTTGACATAACATCGGCAATTCCATCTCCAGTTTTAACAGGATTTGTAGCAATGTCTTTCACTTTTTGAGCTTTATGTTCCACAATATTTATAGTATTTTTGAGAAAATTACACGTATTCGATTTCAGTCGTTCTGCAAGACCAGTCCACAATCCTATTTCACAGTATCTAAAATAATATATAAAAATATACAATACAATTTGTCATAATTTACTTATTTAATCATTACACAATTAAATTACCTGAACTGTTTCATTATACGAGGAGTTGATGTAATACTTATAAATGGATTGGTTTTGCTAGAAAATTTTGGAAATAGATTTGGAAGTAAACTATCACTTTGAGATGAAAACGTTATGTTAGGTGTTCCGCTTCTAGCAAATTCGGCTATCAAATTCGTAAAAATATTCTCTACTCGTTCATTTTCCTCATTTGATTCTTCATCACATTGCACTGATTCCCCAGTAATAGTATTTTCCTTAAAAATATATCCAAGGTCATCACCGTGACTTGGTATATCTACAAATACAATTAAAAACATTAATAATCAAAAGATATAATTAAAAAATAATATTTTAAATGCATACCATCCGCATGTCTTGCTTTAACTATAGGCAATCCTGCTAAAAAATTGTTGCCGCAATTTCGTTTTCTATTATGATCGAAACTGTATAGAAAAGCCTCGCTCTTTTTAGCCCAATAATTAACTGTAAGGAAAGCGGGGACGTTGTATAAAGTATCTCCCATAGCTTCTGCTATTTTAGCGATTTGAGCAGAATTATTTTCAGTATTAAAAACATTGAAATATCTGCTAAAAGACTCCGTTATAAAATGCGATCTATTTCCAAAATTCGAGATAGTATTTTGTAGAGTTGGTACAAGATATTTATTTAAGAAATCTGGAACGGTACGTAATTTATTTTCAATTTCGGTTCTATAATCTCCAAACACTGCCCCTCCTACTTCGTTATTCATAACTCCCATCAACAATGGTATAGATGGAAAATCTTCGAATTGCAAAAAATTCTCTGGTGTATTGGTGATCAAATTGGGAAGAAATCTAAAAAAAATATTATATTATAATTGCTAGATGGCAGATTTGTATATATTTATGTAGTATTTAAAGATTTACTAATGCACGTAATGCACAAGTGTATATAATATCCAAATACTATTAATAATATCCAAAGTACTATTCATTATATTACCAAATAAATATCCAATTTTGGATAATATCCTATCTAATATTAATAATATCCTATCTAATAAATATCCAATTTTGGATAATATCCTATCTACTATTCATTATACTGCCAAATAAATATTCAATTTTGGATAATATCCTATCTAATATTGGATAGTATATAATATCCAAATACTGTTAATAATATTCAAAGTACTATTCATTATACTGCCAAATAAATATCCAATTTTTGATAATATCCTATCTAATATTAGATAGTATATAATATCCAAATACTGATTAGTATTGGATAGTATATAATATCCAAATACTATTGTATTAAGTATTGGATAGTATATAATATCCAAATACAATTAATAATATCTAAAGTACTATTCATTATACTGCCAAACAAATCGTTATTTATATTCAATTTCTTTAATTCATGAAAATGGAATCAAATTTCATTGTTGTTGAATTAAATTTATGATTGTTCCTCAGAAATATGAATTTGTGTGAAATGTCCTGGCATGAAAGTCTAACAATCGTAATAACTTGTAATAACATTATAAAATTTCAACTGCGTAGAATACCTTTCGTCATCGTTGCCTTCGATTACAGGACCAGGGCTTAGTAAGTTCGATAAACCAGATAGAAAGCCATCGATGGTAGAACGTATAGCTTCCAAGCTAGAATCAACTTCTATCAATCTATTAACTGGTATTTGTTGAAGGCAACGAATCATTTCAATTGTATTATTCGTGGGGCATCCATTCGTCGAGGCGATGTATTGTACGGTGGATGAAGGATTCTTATCAATTGCAAAATGAGATAAAATAGAACCTGACATGGCAATCAACCCGCTTAAAGTATCTGAAAGGAATTCATTGTAGAATTTTTATTTGTAGAGCTCATCATCAGAATTTTATATCGCATATAACGTTATTTACTTTTGGACAATTTGGATAGTGCAAGCATGAAAGCAGCACTGGCTCCTGTACCATGACCAAATGCTACGATTTTCTTTGGATTTCCACCAAAATACTCTATGTGATCTTCCACCCATTTAACCGCCAACATTATGTCAAATATACCATTATTACCCGGTAATTCCTTTGTGCCGGAACTTAGAAATCCTAACGCATGAATCGATGGTGCAATATGTATAAAACTTAGTTTAATTCAAAAATTAAAATGATTTCATGATTGATCAAAATAACTGATCGAACCGAATTATTGAAATTTATTTTTTAATTCGATTTAAATATTTTATATTGGATTTAATTTAAAAATATTTTAAAATATTCTTTGATATTATTATGTAAGGAATAAAAGTGATAAGGAATAAAATTATATGATAAATTATATAATAAAATTAATATTAATTTAATTAATTAATTAAATAAAAATATTATATAATAAAATTATATGATAAATTATATAATAAAATTAATATTAATTTAATTAATTAATTAAATAAAAATATTATATAATAAAATTATATGATAAATTATATAATAAAATTAATATTAATTTAATTAATTAATTAAATAAAAATATTATATAATAAAATTATATGATAAATTATATAATAAAATTAATATTAATTTAATTAATTAATTAAATAAAAATATTATATAATAAAATTATGTTATAAGGAATAAAAGCAGCTTAATTACCGAGTGAACCTAATCTGTACTGTATTGACACAACTATTAATTTTTTATTAATTATGTTTCTCATTTCATATTGACAAGCTGAACCCCTTCTAAAACCACCGCCATGTATCCAAATTAATACGGGATATCCATCGGTGGCATCTGGAAGCATAGGCGTGAATACGTTCAAAAAGAGGCAATCTTCGCTTCCGATAATTTTCTTGCCGTTAACATCAGGCTGAGAGCACGGTGGTCCCCATTTCGTAGCATTAATTTCCCCTTCTAAATGCTGAGGTATAGGTCTCTAAAACGAAATAATAACTTTCTTTTTTTTTATTTGCGTTTTGTATGTGATTATCAGTGACAAGTATAATTTATTATTAATAATAATTTTTATGCCATATTTAATAAGTATATTTTGTTTGAAAAAATGTAATTTAAACAAATCATTAAAGATAATACTATCACGTTTATTAAGCATGCCCCTAGGATAGGTGCCGGAGCTTATTTATATTGTTGTCCTTATCGCACGGTGTTGCCCTCTTTGTCTACCGTGCCTATATGTCTGTCCTTGTCGCACGCTATTGCTCTCCTTGTCTACCGCACAGATATGTCTATCATTGTTCCACGCTATCGTCCTCCTTGTCTACCGCGCGTGAATGTCTGTCCTTGTCGCACGTTGTTGCCCTCCTTGTCTACCGTGCCTATATGTCTGTCCTTGTCGCGCGCTAGTGCTCTCCTTGTCTAACGACGCTAGACAAGGAAGGCAATATGTGCGACAAGGACACCCTTCGATCTATTGAAAAAAATATTCAACTTTTTACACACACGGTTTTCTAGGACAAAACATATATAGAAAGAAAGCGAAGAGCCTAATTTTAAGGAGGCATATAAAAAAGTTTGCAAATTATCATTTTAATTAGGTTTTTCTCGTGATTAGTGCGAACTGTCACAAAATGGACATGGTGGCGCCATCTAGCGGTAAGTTGGTGGTACTAATTATTTCTAAAAATACTTATTTCTGCATTTTACGGGTCAAATGTGATATGAAAAGAAAGCTAAGGGTCTAATTAGGGTAATATAGTCAACAAAGTTCACAATTCATTTCGCTAAATTAGGTTTATTCGCAAATGAAAATTTCTCTGTTTCACGGGGTAGGAAACACTAGCGCCGCGTTGTGGCAGACTGGTGGAACTGAACGCTCTATAACCATATGAGAAGAACAATTGGAAATTTTTAAAAAATGTAGAAATAAATATTTTTAGAAATATCCGCCTCCTTAAAATTAGATTGCCTGCTTTCTTTCTATGTGTGTCTTAAAAAAACGTCTGTGTAAAAAATTGAATATTTTTTTCAATAAATCAAAGTATGTCCTTGTCTCAGACTATTGTTTTCCTTGTCTAACGTCATTATGCATATAAACATATAGACGCGGTAGACAAGGAAAGCAACAACGTGCGACAAGGATGGATATATAGACGCGGTAGAAAAGGATGGCAACAGCGTGCGACAAGGACAGACATATTCGCGCGGTAGACAAGAAAGGTGATAGTGTGCGACGAAGACAAACATATTTGTGCGGTAGAAGGATAAGAAGGGTACGAATACGAGTGAGAGGTTGCTTTTACGACTAGTAACATTTTTTAATTTTTTTGTTTGCTGTTTGTAAATAAAAAAAAACTGCTTTGTAAACAGAAGCAACACATTATAATAAACAACATTTGGTAAAAATAAATAAAAAGAATTCATAAGAAACAAGGTTTTTTTCGTTTATAGTGAATTGCCACATGATGTATGAATATGAATGGGAGTAACTGTATAAAAATAATAATATAATATTTTACAATTTGTTTAAATTGTAAAATAAACTTTTACAATTTGTTTTGCTTTGTGGATTACGAGAGAAATGATTGTAATTATAGAAAATGAAAAACTAATTTTTTTTATAGAAAGAATCATTTATGGCGATTCACTTGATTGCTATTTTATCTCTAAACGAGTTCAAATATGTTTCATTGTGTTTGTGGTATTAAATTGAATCATGCAATCGCTTTTACAGGATGTTTTCACAGAATGAATAGATAAACTGATGTCCACATATATTGTACAATGATAAAGTTTTATGATTGTAATATATATTGTAATATATATCAATTTTTAAATTAAAATAGCTGAAATCATTTAAGTTTTGTAATTAATCGAGAAAAAAATTAGTTTTGTAAAATTGTATTAATATAGTTGCTAATAATCCTATGGAATTGGATGCAGCTATAAAAATAAATCAATAAATATATATTGTAAAATTTTTTTTCTAAAAATTTTTCTAAAAATTTTAAATATTATTGATAAAAGAAAATTATGAAAATTGAAGAAAATTAATGAATATAATACTGTTTTCATTTAAATCATTTTGGAAAAATTAAATACATAATAAGATATATTATGAACTTGAGAAATGAGTTACTCATATACAGTAATATATTAAGTAAATAATATCAATTATTAACTTTAATAACCGAAAGAAAGATGACTTACCTGAAATCGATTTAGACCTACTGGAGGTCGTCCAAATCGAATGCCCCGGAAAACGTAAAATCCTTTATTTGGATCTCGAGTACCATAAATACGTGCTTGTCGATTACTTTGTGTCACATAAACAACAGGATCATCTACAGGGGGTGGTGCAGCTGCACGACCACCAACAATCCTTTTCTGTCTTCTTAGATGATACGACGTAACCGTCGTTAATATATAAAATAAAACGATTAGTATGGTGCAAACGCGTCTAGTCATTTTGAATGCTTGTACTGTAATAGTTGCCTATCCGCTTCTTTATGTCATAACTTTGATAGCACGTGATAACAACCACAAATGAGAGATTTTATATAGAATAAAAGTACAAATATACAAATTCTCAGTATTACAAAATTAATAGTGTAGATTATCATATTTGTAATGGAAACTATATCAAACATCTTTTTTTAGAAAACATATTTTGATTTTTTAAATTAAATATTTTGGCGGGCAAACAGTGCAACCAACTTAAATCTTATACGTGACTTCATTTCCGGCTGCGTCTTTCTCTATTCAATATCGGTTAAGGCGGTATGTGATCTGTGAACTATTTTTCATCTAAAATCCTCTTAAATTTGCAAAAATAAAATGCATCTGCTATAAAACAATTGTTCTTAGAGCATTGTTATTAATTTTCTACATGTTTTTATATATATTTTTGATTTTGGGGAGGAAATTAGAAAGTTAAATTGTTTGTACCTTTTGGAGGTTATGTTGTAATGGGGAATAACAGATGATGTCACGTTTTATGTCACGTATTGAGTTTATTGTTGTAAGAGTAAAGTAATTTAATATTTTATGTTTTAGATTTTGAATTATGGGTCGAGTAATTCGTGCTCAGCGTAAGGGAGCTGGATCTGTTTTCAGATCTCATACAAAGAGGAGAAAGGGAGCCCCGAAACTTCGCTCCTTGGACTTCTCTGAGAGACATGGCTATATCAAAGGTGTTGTGAAGGTCTGATTTATTTCAAATTTATTTTTTACATTTATTTCAAAATATTTTATTTATCAGTTTTGTAATTATTTATTATAAGTTACATGATGAATTCTAGTATACCTACTTCTGAATAAGATTTTGGAGAATAATAACTAGAGGCTCTTTCTGAGACTATCATATATTTTATAACATAGCATCTGTTATATTCTTTTGTTAAAAAAGATTATATTATATTTATAGGATATTCTTCATGATCCTGGTCGTGGAGCACCATTGGCCGTTGTTCATTTTAGGGATCCGTATAAATTTAAAACACGCAAAGAATTGTTTATTGCTCCTGAAGGGATGTATACTGGACAGTTTTTATATTGTGGAAAGAAAGGTAAACTTTAACTATGTTTAGAATATGTTAATTTGTTTATGATAAAATATTTAAAAATTACTAATGTAAATTATTAATACAAAATATATTATTTTGCAGCAAATCTCCAAATTGGAAATGTGATGCCTGTTGGACAAATGCCTGAAGGTACTATTGTTTGTAATTTGGAAGAAAAAACTGGTGACAGAGGTCGATTGGCAAGAGCCTCAGGAAATTACGCTACAGTCATAGCTCATAATCCTGATACAAAAAAAACCAGAGTGAAACTACCGTCTGGCGCCAAGAAGGTTATACCATCCAACAACAGAGCAATGGTTGGCATTGTTGCTGGCGGTGGACGTATTGATAAACCAATTCTAAAGGCTGGTCGCGCGTATCACAAGTACAAGGCAAAGAGGAATTGCTGGCCTAAGGTACAGTGTTTAATATATAAGGAGTTTTGCATTTTATTAAAAAAATAAATATTTGTTAATGATGCTTTTAGACATTTGAAACCTGAACAATTTGGTGTAGAAAATATTTGACTGAACAACTCTAAAGTTTAGTCTGCGTAATATGATAATATCACAGTATCTATAATATTTTTTCTTTTCTTTAAAGGTCCGTGGTGTTGCTATGAATCCAGTTGAGCATCCTCACGGTGGTGGTAATCATCAACACATTGGTAAAGCATCCACAGTTAAGCGTGGAACTAGCGCTGGTCGTAAGATCGGTCTTATTGCTGCTCGTCGTACAGGAAGAATTCGTGGTGGAAAGACCGATACTAAGAAAGACGATTAGATTAAACATTGACTAAATCCTGGAACTTGTACAATAAAATGTTTGAAAAAGACCTTATATTGTCATAATATTATTCACATTGTCGTTCGACTCATGCGTCATTGAAAAATTTATTTCCGAAAGTATCAAATAGGGATTTCATAGTTTTATTTTTCTAGTACATTTGATAGTTTGATTTCAATTTAGTGTGAAATTGGATATAGTCGATATGTTGGTAACGGGTACCAACCGATAGTAAATTAAAAAAGTAATACAATGTGATCGTAGATTCTATCCCAGTATCATGTGCAGGGCATAAATTTTGTTTCAAACTTTGATACGTGAGAATAACGGGCATGTCAAACAATCGGAAAATTGTCCAGCGAAGTATCCCCATTTAGTTTTCTCGATATCCGGCGGATATAAGTCGTCAGCCATCTTGCTAGCAATATTTCGGCGCTCGGCCATTTTTGTTGCGTCGACGTCAAGTGTGGCCAGAGGCCTTTCATCGTAGGCAGTCTTCGAATTTCCTTTGTATTGAAGAATCGACAGACAGAAACTGTAATTCTAACTACGTGAGTTAGTCGGCAAGTCTCGTTTTGTAGCTGAACAAGAAACGCGAAAGGAGAGAGGAGAGAAGAACGAACAATTGAAATTTTCTGCTGATTGCCCAGGCGAGAAATAGCTAAAGAGCTTCTGCGGCAGAGCCACGAAAAATACGCACCGAGGCGGAGTAATATGAGTAATGCAGCCAACCAGAATGGATCAGGTCTAGAGCAGCAGGTAAAAAGAGTTAGAAAGTTTGTTACATCTCTGACAGTCTTTATTCCTATCTACCATTCTTTCTTTACCCTCTCCATTCGAATCTCTTCTTATTTAATGCTTGTTGCAAAAGTTTTTTCTTTTTACGGTCACGCGTGAACGTTCATAAGTGTTATTTTATAACCTACATTCGCGTGAATCAATTGTTCTTACATCTTTCCTGCGTTAAACGTTTTGTAGACCTGAATCATCGTCGGGTTGATTGTGACGTACAGCTTTGTAATGGCGGCAACCAATTCCGGGAACAGCAAACCTCGTGCCGTGACGCACTCTCATATTGCTTTTTTTGTGTATAAATTCTACATGATAGATGGAACAGATATAATGTACAATTACGTAAAAAATCGATTTGTTTAAGGGGTAGAAAACGACTTTCTCGTTGTTAAAATTTGTCGTATGGACGTGATGTGAATTTTATTATTTGACTATTATGAAATGACCACTATTTAATTTATGAGGAAAAAGTAACTTATTTAACAAAAAGTAATTGATTATCTTAAAAATAAGAACAAGTGTATCGTTTAATCAAGAAGATACATGCATTTTACTGTCAAATTTCTTTCTGGTAAAATGATAATTTCAATATTTTTTCACATGTACAATATTAAATAGGTGTACATCTTGTTCGTTTCTGAATAAATGTATTTTGTTTTTTTAATTTTAATGACTTATTTTATTCATTAATTGGATGATGTTTAACTTTGTCTTTAATTCTTTCTATGTGTACGTTAATAATATTCTTTAAATGTGTACGTAGATTGATATAATAATTATAACAGAATATTTAATAATTTGTTCCTCGTTATTAAATAGAAAGTAATATCATTAATCACTCAAAGAATAAATTTTACCAAACACAGTTTGTGTAATCTAATATATGTTATTAAATGTTATATTTATTTTCCTTTGTATAGTATTTTTGTGAATATATAAATTGACTTCAGAGTGTCATATTATTTTTAGACTTCTTACTATATAGATTTGTTTTAAAACAGTAATGTTCCTTTTATAATATTGCCATTATAGTCAGTATTGTGCAATACATAATAAATAACATTTGTTAGTCATGATAAGATACATTAATTTTATATATTAATCTAAAGATTAGTTTGTCATTTATATATCACAATAATTACTTATATTTATCTTTTAGATGTTAAAATGTTCTAATTATTATTTTAATTATTATTTTAATTATTATGTTCGACAATGTGTTTACATTTTGTATTATATAATACAAATATTCCTTAGTACATATATCAAATTTATTACTAACAGTATTTATGTTTTTTTTTTTTTTTTTTTTTTTGTTTAATCATCTTTTCATGTATATATTATATGTTATGATATATTGAAATAATTTCTTAATAAAATATTTGCGTATGTTATGGTTTCAAAAAATTCATTGTTCATTTCTTACTATTATGTATTATAAATGACATATCTTAAAATGCTTATTTTTTTAATTTTAGTTAGCTGGTCTGGACTTGCAGGGCTCCCGCCAACCAAGTGGGGGTCGCTACGTACCACCGCATTTACGAAATAAATCTGGAAGTAAGTATTAAATACATATTGCTAATAGTTATGTTTATCTCTGTTTAAATGTTCTTGTTGATACTTTCAGTTATATGTTTATATGTTTCTATTTACTTATATGTAAACAGTTATTTTAAACATGTAAATATAATATCAAATGTTTAATAAATATCTAAAAATCAATATAAAGAAAATGTTACTACTGAAAAAGATTTATGAGTCAGTAGAGCTTTTTGGTACTATCAAGATATAAAAAGTATATAAAGTTTAAATTTATATATTTAGAGAGCAGCAATAAAGGAAACCAACATTAATTTGTCTACAGGTAACGCGCCTTCTGGCGGGGATCACCATTTTTCTTCCAATTCGAGACCATATTCTGACAGAGATAGAGGTAGAGACCGTGATCGTGAAAGGGAAAGAGAGAGGGATCGTGATAGGGGAAGAGGTGGTTCAGGTTATAGAGATACACGCTCTCGAGATGTCGACTTCGGGAATTTTGGAAATTTTGGTGGACGCAATAGACGTAGTGCCAATCAAGAAAATGGAAGAGATTATAGATTTTCCAATTCCGATCGTGACCGAGATCGCGATCGCGCGATTAATTCCGGAAACGATCGTTGGCAAGATCAACCTAGAAACGATCGTTGGCAAGATCAGCCTAGAAACGATCACAGAATGGGTGGTGGTAGATGGAAGGACGATAGAGAAGGAGGTAGAACAAATTCTGAAATCGACTGGACAATCCCCACTTCCAGAGACGAGCGATTGGAGGTGGAGTTATTTGGCAATGGCAATACTGGTATTAACTTTAGTAAATATGAGGATATCCCAGTTGAGGCTACTGGTGATAACATACCTCCTCACATCACATCTGTAAGTTTTAAAATTATAATGTTATTTTAAGATTACCATACGTATAATTTGTAATTATTAATTGACTATATCTTATAATCTTTTTTTTTTTTTACAGTTTGACGAAGTTAAGCTGACGGAGATAATAAAGAATAGCATTACTTTGGCTGGTTATGATAAACCTACGCCAGTACAGAAATATGCGATACCGATTATTATCGGACGCCGTGATGTTATGGCCTGTGCCCAAACAGGGTCTGGTAAAACAGCAGCCTTTTTAGTGCCAATATTAAATCAGATTTATGAAAGCGGGCCACGTCCACCACCAGCTAATATTTCTGGAAAGCGTAAACATTTCCCTCTTGGTCTAGTATTAGCACCTACAAGAGAACTTGCCACACAAATATATGACGAGGCGCGGAAATTCGCATATAGATCTCGTATGCGTCCTGCTGTTGTTTATGGCGGTTCAAACATTGTAGATCAAATGCGAGAATTAGATCGTGGTTGTCATCTTCTTGTAGCAACACCTGGTCGCCTTGTAGATATGTTAGGACGAGGTAAAATTGGACTACATAATTGCCGGTACGTACAAAACTATTGTAATTTTTAATTAAAAAATTTTTAATCTACTGTGTGTAATATTCATTTTTTCCTATTAGATATTTAGTATTGGATGAAGCAGATCGTATGCTGGATATGGGTTTCGAGCCACAAATAAGACGTATAGTCCAAGAGGATACAATGCCGCCTACTGGGGAAAGACAGACCCTTATGTTTTCAGCTACGTTTCCGAAAGAAATTCAAATGTTAGCAAGAGATTTCCTGAGTAATTATATCTTCTTAGCTGTAGGCCGTGTTGGTTCTACATCTGAAAATATTACTCAGAAAATTGTATGGGTCGAGGAACACGACAAACGTTCTTATTTGCTTGATCTTCTTCAAGCTAGTAACTTTTCAGATCCTTGTACGTAATAGAAGTTGCAAAACGTTGCGAAATACATTGTTGCCTGTAGATCACGCGAAGATTTATCTATTTTTTTCTTTTTAAATTTCAGCTGCTGAATCATTGACTTTAGTGTTTGTGGAAACAAAAAAAGGTGCCGATATGTTGGAAGAGTATTTACATCAAATGGGATATCCAGTGACTAGCATTCATGGTGATCGAACACAACGTGAACGCGAAGAAGCTTTGCGCCGTTTCCGAGCTGGCAAAGCGCCAATACTTGTTGCCACTGCTGTTGCTGCTCGTGGGCTTGATATTCCACATGTGAAGCACGTAATAAACTTCGATTTACCGGGAGACGTTGAAGAATACGTTCATCGGATTGGTCGTACCGGCCGTATGGGAAATTTGGGTTTGGCCCTTTTTTTTTTTTTTTTTTTTTTTTATTTTACAATTACGATTACTTATTGGCTGTTGTAAATTAATTTAATTTGATTTGTGATAACAGGTTTAGCAACGTCATTCTTCAATAGCAAGAATATTAACTTGGTGCGCGACTTGGTATCTCTTCTAGTTGAAGCTAATCAAGAACTTCCACCTTGGTTAGACGATATGTTCAGCGAAGCAAGATACTCTGGAGGTGGATCTCGTCGAACTGGAAGTACTAAAGGTCGATTTAGCGGCGGATTTGGTGCTAGAGATTATCGTCAAACACCTAGCTCCGGATCTGCCCGTAATAATGGTTCCTCCAACAGGCCTGGCAATTATGGAGGTTTGTATATAGAAGTTTTTATCATTATGAAGATTTTATACGGAGTAAATTTTTTTACGTACAAATCGTTTCTCTTTATAGGAAATTATGGAAATTACGGAGGTAACTATAACAGTTCATCGTATAATAATTCTGCTAACAATGTCGGCAGTAATGATCCCGATTGGTGGGATAAATAAAAATCATTATCATCATCTCTATTTTCACTTTTACCATTATTACTACTGTACACGTAAATTCAAATATATGTAAGAAAGACACGTACGACATACACATCGGGTACAACACGCACGTATTTGCGCGCGTATACGTATACACAAGAAAAGACAGTATCACGTATAAACAAATCACATTCGCTGACTGCCTGTGCACTATAATTTTTAAACAAAAAAGGAAAAAAAATAATTGTGTTTATTCAATTCCATAAATACTTTTATTCGCGTGCGACGAAACACAAATGACAAATCCAAAAATCGCAGCATTTTGAACTGTTGCATTAAGAACTATGAATGGAAAATCATCATTTGATATGAAAGAATAATGATCTCATTTCCCAGAGCGAGAGCGAGCGAGAAAGAGAGAGAATCAGGATTTGTCAGATATAATAAAGATCCATCCAAGTTTCGTTGCCGTGCGTGTTGAAGAACACAAATAGAATATTGATTAATAAATCAAATCGAGCAGCCGTTAATGTCTAATTAGGGCATAACGCTGTGACACGTAGTAGGTGAAGAAACTTAGTGAAATTTTTTAGAACTCCTGTCGAGACTATGGGGCACGTTGTGGCTTCATTAATTGAAATTTTTGAAGGACGTGGTAGGCGTATCTTCGAGAATTGTGGCGTCTAGAGCTTTAAATGCACAAGTGCTTATTATTATTCTCGCTTGAAGAGCCAGTATCTTGTGTAATTTAATTTAATAACAGTGGCGCCGATTTCGTTTTTTTTTTTTTTTTCTCTCTCTCCGCATATATCTATATTTTGACTAGGCGCCTACGATACGCCATACCGCCATCGCCATAGATTCGTCACGATTCCTGTTTTAAATTTACTGTAGTCCAGCGACGAATGGTACTTTGTTGTTTTGCCGTCCCCAGACACAGACGACGTTGCGCCGGCAATATCATGGTCTAATCGACTAAAATCGCGTGAAGTGTTCAATAGTCGAAAGCTTTGAAAAGGACACAGGCTGCGTCTTAAGATACTTTTAGAAATCTCGTTTATATTTCTGTCACGTCCTATTAATATGTAAGTAAGTTTATAAAAGTCCAATGCTGTAAACTTATTGCTTCTGTAACTCGGTGATTCGAAGAATTATTTTATTTAAAATGTTTGGTAATTGTATTTAGAGTAGGCTGAGACTGTTCAGCGAACGTCAGGTATATATATCTGTACCTGAATTTTAACGTACTATAATTAGAATTTCTAAACGTAACGAAGACGTTGTCCTGTAAAATTGGTACGGTGCGTTATAAAAATCTTAGATCGCAGTACTGAATGCGAGTGCTCTAGAATGAGAAAGCTTACATTAAAAGAGGAAAAAAAAAAAAACAAAACAAAGGAAAAATAAAAATACGGATAAAAAATATACGGTTGCAGTTACAGAGGGGAACTTCAAAGGGGATAAAACGAAAAAGAAGCAAAATGAGCAAAAATTACATTACGCTGTTAGTTGGCTCGACCTTATGAGACGAAGGGGTGGGGAAAAAAAAAATAGAGCAGAAGAGGAAAAAGGAAAAAAAAAAATACAAAAAAGCCCTTTGAAAATAAGGATGCATAAAGGCGCACTCATATTTTATAACTGTATTTATCAATACGATACGCTATATATATATATAAATATATATACACACTAAGTAATATTCGTAAATACATAAACATTAAAATAATTGAAAAACGACTGTGATATCGAACGATCTTGTGACATTCAATTTCCATGCGAATTGATAAATGAACAATTTAACGAAATACAAATATTAAATGTATGAATTAATCGGTATTGAATGTCAGGAATGCGTAAGCTCAGTTTATTTGGGCCAAGGAATGGGAATCTTAAGTCGTTAAAAGTGAATAGAACATCCAAGAACAACGTGGCTGTTGTCCGATCGGGGAGGGCTGAACGCTAGCCTCTTACAGTCCTAAAAACACGTTTTTGGGGCATTGTTTCTACTTAAAAGAAAAGAGAAAAAAAAGAAAAAAAAAAAAAAAACGCGCATTAATAATAGATAATAAACGACGGAACGCGTCATTACTAGTTGATGATGTTGGTAGGGCTTTATAGAATGTCGATATCTTTTGTGCAAACGTGTCGGATTCTTACCTAATCTATGTGAGAAAAAGTACAAATTCAATTTGCGTGACAACTGACAGGATTTTTAGACATGTCATACTTATACCTGTTATATTAATAGATTTATAGTGCAATCGCGTGCGTGAATCGTATGCCAGTGTGACAGTGGACCAAGGGTGTGAATGCCCCTTTCACAGAGGGGAAGGGGGGACAATTATTTCAACTAGAACATTTCAAATAGTGATTATAACGAGTAATAATTGTTGGCTTCCGACCATGGTGCGTGTGATTTTCAAATTCTAATATGATTGATTTATTATCATCGAGTCCGTTTTTGTCAAGCTCGGAGGCCCTGCCAAGAACATTGCAAGAAGAATTCACAACGAAAAGTGAAGTCGGTATCACTTTTCTGTTTAATCTACAGTGTACAATTTTACGGCACAATTGTTTAGTTGAATGTTAGCCTATTTAAGAGATAGTTGATCATGCCGTACTATTACTATTATTATTACTATTAATATTATTTTTATTGTTAGTATCTCCACCGCTATCACTCTTGTTTACTATTATCATTATTGTTTCATTTCTTTCCCGATGAAAATGTTCCACGCGCAAACTTTGCATAATGGCTTTGCTGTACTGCATTGTGTTATTTTACTGCGATAAGTAGGAAAAAAAAAAAAAAAAGAAATAGGTAACTTTTGGACATCATTATCCTGAATTTGTTTTTTACATATGTATATATATATATATATGTGTGTGTGTGTGTTGTATGTATATACATATAATATATAATTTATATATATGTATGAAATGTGTACGTATATATAAATATATATAATTGTATGTATATAAATTACATAATATATATATATATATATATAATATATAAAATATACACATATATATATAATATGTAAAATATACATATATGTATATTTCTTTTTCTTTTTTCGTAAAATTCATAATCGGACGGAATGTGCAGTTTCCCCACTGCAGATTTCATTTGTTAAAATTTACGCACGTACAGTTACACTTAAAACAATAGAAATTCCGGATTCTACTGTCCAATCGTTCACTCAGGCAACGAATACATACGACGCGTAAGTTATTAGTCTCTTGTGCAGTTGGAAGTAATACGTTCGTTTACGAATAATGTGGTGGACAGAGATTATGCAAGTGACAACTATACACGAAAGTATTTTCATACTTGTTTCTCTCCAGTTCTAACGCTATTTTTATACATAACGATGTGATGTCGAGCAATCACACAATTAATCTATCTTTTCTTTTCTCTTCTCTTTCTTTTTTCGTCTCTCCTTTTTTTTTTTTTTTTTCTTGTACATTATGAACCAAGAGGTGTTCGAGTATCGCGAATATCGAATTTAAGCGATGCGTAGTTATTGTTCGTATGTTTCATATTTAAAAAAAAGAAAAAAAAAGAAAATGAAAGGAAGGAAGAAATCGATAAATGCATTTGTGCGATAGTCAGATGTCCACCGTTTCGTAACTGGTAAAAAAAAAATGTATGAATTCAAATGGCGGTAATATTGATTTCAAACGTGTTGCAGCATCCTTGGAGGAAATAGCAAGATGGTATAATAACGAGACTATTTATTAACGTGTATTAAGTATTTATTTTTTATGTTACTTCACTCGGAAAGGACAGCCGCATATATTTGTACTCTGAAAATATTAAACATTATGTTTGGTCCTCTAAAATATATCGGACGAGCAGCCTTAGGAAAAACCATTTATGGATCTATGCAGAGTGGAATGACTAGACAAAGATCAATTAAAGTGTAGTGCGAAATGAGAGAAGGGGCTACGAATAGTAAACATTACGTGTTATGTAAAAAGAGTAAAAAAAAAGAAAAAAAAAGTGGCGTTTGACTGTGACTGCAATCATAATTACGAAAGGAATGCGCAATTACAAAGCACACATAACGAGCGAGAGAGGGAGAGTGTGTGAGAAAGCGAAAGAGGATGAAAGAGAGAGAGAGAGAGAGAGAGAGAGAGAAAGAGAAAGGGAGAAACATTGTAAGTTATGTAATTTATTACTACGTGTTACAATTCGCAACAATGTCAAGAAAAAAAAGGAGCAAAAAGGCACGTACGCCGCTACCGAGTAAAATTGTACGATTATAGTTTTATATAGTTTAGCGACTACAGTTTTCTTTCTTTCTTATTTTGTTACGTTGCGCGTGTTCGAAAATTCGAACCTTGTTTAACTTGTTTTCTTGTGAGACAGAGAGAAATTCGTGTACTCTTATTGTGTGTCGTTACCTCGAGCAATCTTTTTGTGTAATATATATATAAAAAAAAAAAAGAAAGAAATGAAGTAAAACGATGAAACGCTAATACTCAAAGGATAAACAAAGAGAAAATAAAAAGGATTGAGTTTATCGTATGCGCGTGATATGATATGAATGCAAGAGCGAGAGAGTGAGAGTGAGAGTGAGAGAGAAAGAGAATACGTAAACGGGAGAAAAAGAGAGAGATGAAACGAAAAGAGCACACGCGTAGATGGAGAATATTCGTGGGCAAAACTAGGTGGGATGGCAAAAAAAAAAAAAATGTCTTCTAACTTTTACGAATGTTATTTAATCGAGAAGCGTCGCTTGTCGTTGAATCGAGAACGCAGACAAAACGGTGTACAGAGAAACGATAGAGGAAAAAAAAGTAAAAAGAAAAAAGAAAAAAAGAAGAAACGAAGAAACAGAACAAACTTTTAAAGAAAGCGCGACGAACGTTTTGCGCTTTCGATACGAGTCTCAGTGGCTGTGTTTCATTTTTCTACGGCGAATGACGCTCGTTGTATCATTCACTTGTAACTCTAATGATACTGCTATATATCTTACTTCACTGAGATGGCGAGCAAATGGCAAAAAGTGTGAAAGAGTTTAGAAAACGGAACGGTGAACGTACCATTCTGTCGGTCTCTTAATTAAATAATTGCACATTTACACGCTACATTAGGTGAACCAAGAATTAAAAAAAGAAAAAAAAAAAGAAGATACGAGAAGTAGGGGAAAAAAAAAATTCTGCAAACAACTGTACGTCGTACGGCTATTGAATGAAGTAATAAAAAATAAAGTGTCTGAAATTTAATAAGGGATGTCAACTTAACCTTATAAAGTGTATGATATATATACGCATATAAGTAATATACATATATATATATATATATATATGTATATATATACACTTGACGTTCATTAGCAATAAGTTACGCATTGTGGATAGCATGTGCATTCTATTGCGCTTAGGTAAAGCAACGTGTGTTCCGTGAAGAATGATGTAGAGTGTCAATATTGTTACAAATACCTCATACAAAAAAAGACGATGGATCACATATATTATTTAAATGTCGTTCATTTAGTGATTCATTCGTTTATTTATAGTATTATGCAGTGACAGGAGAATTCTATAAAATGAATCATATAATAATAAAGAAAGAAAAGATTATGCAGTGTAGAGTCTCTTCGCATACGTTTTATGCCTTCTACCTTACAGGTTACTCTAAAGTTCAAACGTTTTAACGTTCTTCGAACAAGTCTTAATTACATTAAGGTTTTGCTTCTGTTTTTTTTTTTTTTTTTTTCTTTTATATATATAAACGTACGTCTATAATTTTTTTTTTTTTTGCACTTTAGCATTAAAAAAAGAAAGAAATTGCATAATCTTTTACATCGAACAATTTCAACAAATTCGTACAACTTCAGTAGAATAATTACCTATGTGTTTTTATTTTCGTACCGGTTTAAAACAATTAAACATTCATCTCTGATAGATAATATAGAGATATGTTAATTTGTACAAAATATTAAAAAACGTACATGTTGTTGACCGCACACAGATAATTCCCGGATTTATTCTCCAAAGTTCACCAGCCCAAGCGTGTTGATAATTTTAAATCTCACACAGAAATAGGTATTTTTTTTATTATTTCGCACGTTTCGAAGGATCAGAAGGCAAAAATGTGTTTTTAGAGAGACGAAAATAAATTTTCAATAAATTCTTGCACGCGAATCTTTTGGATCTTGACGATTTTCTATTCGTTGGATATTTAAATCAAATTTTTATCTAGCAGGGACCAAACAAGAGCGTTGAATTATATTTATAATCTCTGGCAGAGAATAGTAATTTTTCGACGATTATTCCTTTATCAGCGATTAAGACTTATAGTTTATTAATATCGGATAATCCTAATGAAATGTATCAGAAACACAACCGAAAGTAAGGACCAATAAGAGGTCAATTCTGTTGGAATAACTTGGACCAATCGTGTAAGACCACGATCGCAATGGCGGCGTGGCTGAACAGTTTTGTGTTATTGGGTGGTTAGGTAGAGGCTTCTATAGCCAGCAGGTTTGTTTTCTTATGTATTGAAGTATTCATATTGTCGTGACCCAATTTTTTATTCAATCATGTACCATTGTGGTTTATTACTGGTCTTATTGAATCTGTTTTTAGATGGTAAATAATTCTAACCTATACTGTTACCTCTAACATCACTATTTTACAGTGTAATATTTAATGAGTTTACTATTCCAGTGGTTGGGAGCGTTTCCCAGTTAGAAATTAACAGACATTTGGAGTTAGGTAGAGAATTTTTAGCGAAGGGCCAATTACAGGATGCACTGTCACATTATCATGCAGCTGTTGGTAAGTTTCAAGATTCACAATCAGAGTTTGTTTCAGTATATTTTGTTGCAACCGATTTTTGTATTAAATGCACAAAGAAGTACAGAAGCTGTGATCGACATTAGAATTTTGACGCGTATCATTCTTATAGAAGGAGATCCAAATAACTATTTGACATACTATAAAAGGGGCACAGTATATCTAGCATTGGGTAAAGCCAAATTTGCACTCCTTGATCTTGACAGAGTTTTAGAATTGAAGCCAGATTTTACTTCTGCGAGATTACAGCGTGGTAATGTATTGCTTAAACAAGCCCAGTTTGAAAAAGCAGAAGCTGATTTCCGAGATGTTGTAAGTATATTTTTATTTCGAAGCAATTACGTGTTCATACATGTTCTTTCAGTTTGCTGCAACTTTTGTTTTTCACTTGTTGCAGTTAGCAGTCGAGCCACAGAATTCAGATGCCTACAATGCCTTATATAAAATATCGCCTGCTCAGGATGATTTATTAGTTGCAGACAGATTAGTAAGAAATGGCGACTATGCAGCAGCTGCGCAACAACTTTCCAAAGTTATCGAAGTATGTCCATGGTCAGCTGAACTTAGAGAACTTAGAGCTGAATGTTATGAGGCACTCGAAGATTATATTAGTGCTATTTCTGATGTACGTTCTACAACCAAGTTACAATCTGACAATACGCAAGGATTTTTAAAATTAGCCACCTTGCACTACCGTTTAGGACAAGTGGAGGAATCTCTAAAGTAAGTAAAACCATGTAAAATTAGACGTCTCATATTTAAATTTACGTAACTAAAATTATGTACTTGTAGAGAAATTCGAGAATGTTTGAAACTTGATCCAGATCATTCAAAGTGTTTTTCATTTTATAAGAAAGTCAAGAAAGTAGCAAAACTACTAACAGATGCGAATGAATATGAGAATGAAAGAGATTACACTAATTGTATAGATTCTGCTCTGCCTGTACTGAAACTTGAACCACAAGTAGCTAAAGTACGTTTCATTGCTCATCAGCATCTTTGTAAATGTTATACTGGTAATTCAGAACCGAGTCAAGCAATCAAAAATTGCCACGAAGCATTAAATATAAGAAAAGAAGCGTCAGTATACTGTGACAGAGCAGAAGCGTATCTTGCTGCTGAAATGTTTGATGATGGTAAGTCTTATTTATACAAGATATTCCATATCAACCTTTATATGCGATTATTTTGTGAACTATTCGTTATTTAGAAAAGTATTTCATAGACTTATTTTGTTTTAAGATTCATTTTATTTCAAAAGGATATAATAGATATGAATTATATCTATTCATAAATGGCATAGAGAAATTTGAAATGACTTTAATTTTTTTCATATAAATATTTTTCATTTAATTCTATTTAAGTTTTGTTAGTTCACTTAAATATTTGTATGATAAATTGCTAGGAGATAGTCGCGTGTAAAGATTGTGCGTGCACATTATGCAATACATAAATTTCTTGTGTTGTTAATACAATGTAATAATAAAAATGTTATTTTTTTAAAAAGCTATTAGAGACTTTAAAGAAGCTTTAGAAATTGACATGAGCTTACAAAGAGCGAAGCAAGGTCTACATAAAGCGCAACAACGGCAAAAGCTTTCTGAATCACGAGATTATTACAAAATTTTGGGTGTGCCGAGAACAGCATCTAAACGTGACATCATTAAAGCGTATAGAAAAGCTGCACAAAAATGGCATCCTGATAATTTTCAAGAAGGAGAAGAAAAGAAACGAGCGGAAAAGAGATTTATTGACATTGCAGCTGCCAAAGAGGTATTGACTGACGATGAGAAAAGAGCGAAGTTCGATCAAGGAGAAGATCCATTAGATCCTGAATCAGGGAAACATCAACAAGGTTTCAATCCCTTCCAAGAATTCCATCACTTCCATGGCTCTCCCTTCCAATTTAAGTTCCATTTTAATTAAATGTTTTTCCTTTCATTCTCATGGTACTAGTTCAAATAAAATTCCTAATTTTTAATAGTATCGCTGTATATGCGTCATGACATGACTTTTGCTATTTTAGCTGAAATTTAATTTCGCTAATCTACCTCATCGGTAGTCATATGTCTTGTATCTGCATTGAATCAGAAGACTGGTTCGAAAAAATTATTAATCAATCAGTAAGTCAAGAAAAGGTGACCAATAATTAATTAAAGTGAATCATATTAAATTGTTATTTGATACACATACAAACTATAATGTTCTTATTATCAGTTCTCAGTGTCAGTAACTTGTTACTGAAATTTAAGATATACATAATGTAAATAATGTATGCATGTAATTTACTATGTTAGTTTTAATAATTTATAATATATCGATTGTAATGATTCTGAGTAATTGACTTACTGAATAACTAATAAACAATATACTTGATGCAGACTGAACGTATAATTAGTTGTCAGCGATGTGAATATTTGGTACCATCAATATTATATATAGATATAGATTTCGTACTATCGACATACGAAACGAAAGTCGTGATTGAATTCGCATTTTAATAAAAGTATAGGATATATGGTGGCGAAACATTGCTATCTAAACGTGGTGGCAAACTGGTGGATTATTGAGTTTAGCTTGAAATCGTGCGATGATTAGATGGAGTAAATACTATTAAAGCCATTTTCGGTAACATAACCATCGAGTACAGTTGCACTTCAAGTACGATTAGCGGAATTATATTATGGGAGTGATTGTATTTGATGCTGATAAACATTTGTAGAACAGTGCTGTGTGCGTGTTGCATTCGCATGAGTGTGAGAGAACTTTATGTAAATACTGTATCTCTGATATTTGTTTAAATATATTTGAATAATTTATATATATTATACTTTATAAAATACACGACATATGTCGTATATAACGCTTTTAAATACCTATCGTATTATAGGAAATTTTTAATATATATACTGAGGTATTTATATTTAAATTTCTTTTTAAATAGATTTTCAAAAGTTAATTGATTTTATTCTTTAGTAATTAATTTTATTTTGTTATCAAGTCCTATTAATTATGGATATTACTGTGTACAATTACAATTAATTTGTGTTATAAAATTGTAGTTTACCTATATAAAAAAGTACTGAATTTAAAAGAAATTTTTCACATTTACAAAATTAATTTCGTAATTATTGTCTTAGTTACAATTTCAAGATTCGAACAAAAGAAACTGTTGAAAAGATTCAACAGTTTAAAATTTACAGAAATTCTGTACTTTTTTGAGATGTTAAATATTGTTTATAATTTATATTTTATATTATATTATAAAACTTATTTCTAATTATTTAACAAAGACAATAACATTATAAATGAAGAATTAATTAATTTAAAATTTTTTATGACTATCGTTTATAATACTCATATTTATAATTGCAACGTTTTATATTTCTCGTTGACTCTTTTTGTTATTTATTTTATATAATGTTTACTAAAATAATGCTAAAACAGATTATCATATAATGATTAAATTATTATCATTAATTTATCGAAAATATTTTAAAGAGTGAAATAAATATTGGAAATTAAAGTAAAGCTAAATTAATAACGGCATTATTAAAAATATTGAATAAGTTATAATAATTTTGTCTAAATTTAATTTTATTGACTATTACATACATTTGAACACATCTGCATTTAGAGGAAATAAGTGATTCGGATAAATTACCGTACTACTTCGCTAAGCAAAATATTAAATGGAATCTTTTCTCGTTTGTATATTAATATTTTCAATATAATCTAATTCGATGTATTACATTTTCTTTGTACAACGTAAACTTCTAATATTAACCTAGAAACTAGATGAAACTATGCATAGAGTGATTTCTTTGTTTTTATTCTCTAAAATATCTGCCTTGCGTTTAAAATATCTTACATAAACGAGATTGTTCACTTTTACAAGTCTGATATGTGGCACATTATTATTGAAACATTTTCTTTGGAAATACATTCTTTAAATTATGTAATGTATTTCTTTGGTAAATGTTACATTATTAAGATGAAATAGTATTCTTATTCAATCTTTAATGCAGCGCAAATATTTCAGGTAGGAAAAATGAAAGAAACACCTTGTATTTGCTGTTAACTTCAAAACTAGAATCACAGTTATTAGGAACAACCCTATAAATTGTACTTTATTATTTATAATAATATCATAGAGTAATTTTTATATTTCTCTTTTACAATATGGTATGTGTACTTTGATAACGAACATTATATTTAACATTTAGAATAACAAATTTTGTACCTGAATAAATTACGTACACTTGTATCTGTTTGCCATAAAAAGAAAGAAATATCTCAAATAGAATAGTTTAATGTTGACTAAGCAATACATTTTTTTTATTGTTCTGTATAGGTCACTTCATTCTTTTTTCCTAGAATACTATTCTATTTTTTTTTTCTTTTATATAATTTTATATAGTTTTTTTGTGTTTATCTTTAACAATCTTTGGATATTCTAAATAATAACAACATATACACTATACATTAATTCATTTTGATGAATCCTATAATGGAACTTTTGTAAATTAATTATTTCCTCTAGAGAAGAAATGATGCATATATAAATTTATGCATATCCTTGTATAACGCATTAAGCAGTCTAACATTCTCTTATTACATACATAAAACGCAAATGCGTTTTAAATATCTAATTTTCATCATTGTTATTTCATTTAGAAATTTTGATTGAATTTATTTTTGATTTTTGATGTATAAACTCCTACCATGCTCCAAAGCATCAGATATTTTCAATTATAAATCTAAATATTCTATGTATTATACAAAATAACTTGTGTATTCATGTGGCATTACACCTCTTCTGGGATAAAAGGTATGATGTGTTGAGTATTCCAGTAAATTTGTAATTGTACTCATATAAATATCAGCAAATCTAAAAAGTCTTCTCGAAAAATATGTTGGATTATGATATGTTCTGAATACAGAACCAAATTGCTCATTAAATACTCGTTTTATCTCGTTTCTTAATTTATCTCTTTCCTTGATCCATTCGTCAAGTACTGTTTGCACATCTGGCCCTTCATAATCTTGATGTTCTTCAATCAATCCTGTCAGCATTTGCAACCAGTTTGCATTTTCTTTAAATTTTGGATTATTTAGCGTTGAAATTTCATGCTGTAACATGTGAAGATATTCTGTTTAGTTTAGTTTATTTTTTTAAAATAATAAATTCTAAATTACATTACAAATTTTTTTAAATTAAGTCTGAGCATTAAGATCTTCAATAATATTTATTTTGTAACATACTATTAATATAAAATTTGTTTTTTTAAAATTTACTTTTGATTTTTTTTTAAAGATAATATTATAAAGTATAAAAAATATAATTTTTGACTGGCTTTCAATTCTGTATAAAGTTGAAAAAAATTGCAGATTCACCGTTAATTCTTTAATTATAGCTCCAGTTCGCCAACCGTGTTCCAATGTTACGTCCGCTAAATCGCTGTAAGGATGATCTCCAAAATATAATACTTGATGTCCCCGCCACCCGGTCATATCTTGTAATTGTTTAACCGTGCCCTAATTCGAAAATTAAATATTTATGAAATTTTTATCACATAGTAAAATTATTGTATTTATAAAGAGATCTTTAAGAAATATTTAAGAAATAATTTTAAACTAAGCACACCTCAAGATATATAGCTCCCTTGTCAAGTTTAGTGACTCGATCCCATAACTGTGTTTTGTTAACTTCATCGTATATTCTAAGAGGTCGAGATTCTTCGGTAAAAAACTTCGGTTTTCTTGCTTGCACTATTACTACATCGAAATAATCTTTCCAATCATCACCAACCAAAAATTTCATTCCAATATCGCTATAATAAAAGTATTATGTTTTATTTTTATGATTATATTAGATAATTAATATTAATTAAATATATAATATCACATTATATTATTAATCTCATTTAGTGTAATACTTACACGAAATGGAAAGGGCTATTGGTTACTAAAAACATTTTTTTATTAGCTTTCTTAAGTCGAACAAAAAATCTTTTTAAATCCTGGTTCTGTTCCAAATATTCGGACACATTTTGTACTACCATACCATGCATTATAGGATGACAACTTTGTACAGAGTTCTGAAACAAAATATTTATATAATGTTATATTTTTGTAGAAATAACTATTATAACATATTATTATAATGTATTGCATGTTGTATATTTTATTTGGTTTACCTTTACATCTCTGAAAAGTATTTCGGGGTGATAGTCGATATGATTTCTAAGGAAGTATTCCGTGACATTGCACAGAAGACCCATTTCCGGCACCGAAAATAAGTCAGCCAATTGAACCATTTTCGTTCGGTGTGGTCCGTCCTTAGAAAAATTCATTTCATTTATACATAACAAATCTGCATATTCTACAAAGAACTGCGAATACTCACTTTCTATGTTTTACGTTGGAAAAACCCATCACGAAAATCACAAAAGTTGTTGCGTGCAAATAAACGAAGGATATTTAAATTGTTACATGTTCTTACATTCTCTTTCAGGCATTTGCAATTTAAAGTACGCACATATATATGAATAACAATTACAAGAAAAAGTTAAAACATGTATATTTATGCGTATTTTTACGTTGGTAAATGATACTGTTAGTTTGTAAATGACAACTTTAGTTTTTAATGTTATCATTTTAAAACGATCAATTAAAGTTTTATATAAATTCTACAATACATAAAACAAATATAAAATTCTTTACAGCAACTTTATTTGTTATATAGTGTTTCATAGTGTTTCATAAAAGTATTTGAACACTTAATGTAAATAAAAGATTTTTATGAATATATTGTATGTTTTTATACATGTAATTTTGAAATTTCATTAACTGTAATTGCAACTATTTTGATTATAGTATATTATATTTTATAATATATTGAATATAATATATTACATTTTGACGGTAATATTAAAATTTAAAAGCAATCTGGAGATGTATATGAAAATTGCAAAATATTCATATATCATACGCAGTGTATGCAGTATGAATAGTGCACTTAAACATATAAATAATGCCAAAAAAATAAATATTATTTATATAATATGAATATCTGATTGTTTAAATACTTTGTAATTTTTATGTATATTTTACAATTTGTTTAAACTTTACCAATTTTCAGTTATATTCTATAAGCATTCTAATACTTTTGTGAGCCACTGTAAGTGTGCATAATTAAAATTTGCATCAATCGTAATTGATTTTTTAAAATATTTATAGCACACATTGGATGAAGTGTGATTTCTGAATTATTTATTTATTCATACTTTTGATTTTTCATGTTTCACTTTTAGATTCTATTTACACTACAGATCATAAATATCCGGATTAGTCAATTCGCAGTAATAATTTGTGAATTTTACTAATATGTGTAAATTAATGACAATTGTTGAAATCATTATTTTTAATAACTTAAAATAATTTAAAATACTAAAAATGGCAACAATATATTTTAATAGTTACAATAAATTTATTATGTAAATATTATTCCTATTAGCATTCACGATAAAAGATCCTCTCTAATTTAGGAATGAAATAATTTGAAGATAAAGAGTTTGTTAAATAAAAAAATAGTATAGTATTTAAAAGATTTGACAATTACAGACGTATATAATTTTATCGTATATATATATATCGTAATCTTCGAAAAACAATTTAACATTATAATATTTTGTCACAAGAGACAGTTAACAAAGAACAATTCGTCCGTAAATCAAAACATTCTACAATTAAAAACAATTGTCCGGATACTTTTGAATTGCAGTGTACATTCAGTAGTAACTCGTTAGTAGACGGCGAATTTGTATAAAAATTTATATTTTTGAAAATACAATCAAAAAGATAAAAGTGTCTCATCCATGGAAGTATCGTGCTTCCAGTATTTCATATATTGTTTCATATTATGAATATTATATGCAATTTTGCACAGAAATTTCGCAGTCTACTTAACAAGCAATTTTATTACTTTTACGAAAACAATAATCATCCTCGGAAACACCGATCCATTATAAGTCAATTATCATGTTCATTCACGGTATCCTTACATGAGAATGTTTATTAGGCGCTTCCACATAAGCGATCGGTATTATCCGGTTTTTATAGAGCCTGAGGACCTCGTCGTCGGGTACTGGATGCAAACCGCGGTAAACGGTGCCAAATTGAATTTGCAAGAAGCTGTCGAGTTTCAGCAGCAGACCCTTTTCGATGTCGTAATGGAGCCCACGAACAGCGAAATCCTTCTTGTACTCGAGGTTGCCGATTCCCTCGGGGTACTGTACAGCCGATTAAATGAGTTTGCGTTAAGTTTCAATTGAAATTCTCGTTCGGCGGTAATTGTCGCTTGATTTTCGAGAAAACGCCGCTGACGAACCGAACTCGTCCAGCAGAAATGAGTTACGAAGTTTCATTCGAATTAGTCTCGACGAGTTTGAAAGTTTATCTCCAGCGCCGTTTCCCCGACTCATGTATATACACGAGCAATTTTTCTCCTGTTGCTTAAAAATGCGTACACACATATATATATATATAATAAATTTTCGTCATGTTAATTTTTGTATAATAAAATATTTTATTGCTATGAAATAACAACAATGAAAAAGAATAAATTTTAATGAATGTAATTTATTCTTGGAAAAGAAAAGAACGTACTTCATTTTTTATTGCGTTTTATAGTTATAAGGTGCAGTGTGTATATTTATATACCTTATACTTTTGAATCAGCATATCTCGTCCAAGGTTGTACAATAAGTAATCCATCGATGGTTTGTAACAAGCTAATGTGTAGTCATAATCGAATCCATAAACTTGGACCTCTTTCAAGTCGAGCTCATTGCAAGCGAACACTCCTTTTGGATTCACGTCTTGCGGAAGTTTCTTAGCTACAAAAAAGAAAATTTAATTTATCAAGATTGAGTACAATAGATAGGTACAAGTATCTGTATATAGTTTATATTTATTTAGTTAAAGCATTACGACTAAAAAGAAATTAAATTAAGTCGAAGTAAAAAATTTTTAATATTCAACAATTTAGCAAAGAAAAATACTTTTAGATAAATAATCTCTGGCTCTTTGATTCATACAAGAAAGGATTAAAATACCATTTTAATTTGTAACATGTTTTTGTTGAATATCAATAATTTATTGATGTTAATTTACTTATCGCAGTAATTAACTTTCAAGGATAATTTAGAGATAATTTTACTTTTAAAGATAATTGAATTTTTGTTATACTTTATATAATTTATAATTTTAATTGTTTCAATCAGCATCTTCGCAAATATATACTCATACAACTTCAGTTTTTCCTTAAATACATGCATTAGTTTGCGTGAGAGATTGACCAAGAAATTTGATCAATAGCAATTTCATACTATACATTCTGTAGATGACGCATTTATTTCCCTTACGTAATTCACAATATTGATAAAGAATTTCACGTAAATTTGAATTGTCAATTTATTGTAAAGATACAAATGGACATGCTTAAAACAATTTGCAAGAAAGTGAGAAAGTTTTCTCGTCGACTTTGACAATTTTGTTTATACTTAAAACTAGGTTCAGATAAAAAATAAACAGTTGAACTCGGATCATTTTTAAAAAGAAGTAAAGAAAAACGTTCAAAAATTTTAAGATATTATAAATATTTACAAAAGTACCGAATTGTAACTTTAATTTAAATTATTCGTTACGTGCTTTTCCATTGAAATGTGATTTTTCATTGAAATGCTAATCTTGAAGAGAACTGCGTATTTAACAACTGTAACGTGGTGTAAAGTCATTGCAAGAAATGCACAAAATAAAACAAATGTTCTCTGTCAATGTAATCTACGCAAACTTGTTTTTTTCGATAATAATACATGATAAATGGACGTCAGCATCTTCATTTCGTACTAAAGTTTTTCTCCATTTTTCCTTCATTTTGGATATTCTTTATTTATTTGAAAGATAATTCAGGTCTAACTGCTCATTTTATTATACCTACAAACAAAGCAATAAAAAAAATTTTCTTTAAAATGTTAGTATATAATAAATGGTTATCTAAAGCAATTATCTCGAAAATAGTCAAATGTGAATACATTCGTAAAAAATAATTAAATGCAAAAGGATTAATATTATTAATACATAATATTTTAATATGTCTACTTCCTTTATCATTTTCTGCGTAGAGTGTAATCTAAAAATAGACTGACGCTACTTTTCCTGTTTAATGTTTCAAGCTACCTCACAATCAGATAGACATATCAAGATGAATGCGTAAACAGAATATCAGACTCTATAGGTATGATATATATAGACACGCGTCTCTATATACACAGCCTTGTATAAGGATTTTCAACTAAACAGCAGAATAACACGGGATTGTTTCTTCGATAAGTTCGCGCTCTCGTTTTGTTTCGCAGATGTCCGATACGAGATGCTTTTCACCGTCCTAGATTTGTCTGCTCGGCCGTTCGTCCCGTCTCTCCTCTGTTCTTTTCCTAATTAGTTCCACAAAGACAAATTCTGATATACATAGAGTTTTCTTCCAATTAATTCGCCAAACATCGAAATTTATAGTTTCCACAATTTGATTTAAAGTGTTGTATCAAACACTTCGCAGTAGACATCTTGTTAAAATCTACAAATCATACAATTATTCATAATAACAAACACTCTAAATAGATCCGATGTGTATTGCCAGTTTTGGAAATTTGCCAGAGGCAACGATTATACAATCATGTTGTTGTTGTTTCACGCAACGGATGATCAAATATGCTGTTCTCGAGAGATTCGACAGCGTTGTGTATTCAATAGAATTTTCGCCTAAATCGAATGCTTCCTGGGAAGGGAGATTCATTAACAAATCAATTATGATTTCCGCATGAATAGACGGCTATCAAGGTCTCGCGCCAGTTCCATCGATTTGAAATATCAAAGTGACGAGGGGGTGCGCATGCGCGGACCCGCGGCACCACGCAGCACAGCGCGCAGAAGCACGACCGAGACAGAACGTCGAGGAGCATTGGCAGCGAGAGAAGGACGTCGAGATAAAATGGCTGCTGCTGTTCTTACTTACACTTGTACTTCTCCCGTATCTTCTGGTAGCTCTCGAGCATGTCTTCGCGCGATATTTCGCCACGGTTGAGGGCACGATCGCCGATGGAACGGTTGGACGCAACATGGCTGCCAGGCATGCGAAGCAACCAGGACGACAAGATACTTTCAACGAGGAGAGGCGATGCTGCAGCGACGGCGAGGGTTCTCGTGTGCAGCATCACGAACGATTGGCGGGTGTGCGGTTACGGTCACGGTGTTCGACGATTGGCGGCTCTGCACGGCGGGAAATTCGAAACGGTACAGCGGCGAGCTGTTTCGAGGTTTCAACGTTACTGAAGCGACTGTCAAGCCGCGTGTTGTCTTTCCTGTTATTACTTAATCGTAATCGAGTCTAGCGACTTGCACGCACTCTAACAATAAAATCGTGGCTCTCCCTTCTATATCTGTATCTGTATCTTCTCATGAAGTTACATATAGCATCTCTCGGTCGTTATTACTCGCTATTTATATTCCGTAAGTGACGAATCGAGAAGGCTTCGGGTATGACTTTGAGACGCGACAAGTGCACGCACGCCACGTCCGAGCGACTATCGTTGTGCCTGTTTTTTTGCGTTCGCCTCGCCACGAGGGGATGAAGGGACTGTGTGTGTGTGTTCGTGTGTGTGTGTGTACGGTCGCGGTTCAATCATGCTCCTCCGAACGACGCTTCACGTAGCTTGATAACACGTAGTATGACAGCTGTCGCAAGTGGGGAAAGCGGTGATGCCTAAAAGACGGAAATAGATGTAACTGTTGGTAGGCGACACGCGGTACGTTGCCAAGCGTACCTCTGCTGTTGATTCGTGGTCAAATAATCGTCAATAATTGACGACTGGTGGATAAACTTTCTACTCGATGTGGTACGCTGTCGTTTCGTGTTATTGAACGAACAAGCGTTAATCTCAGCCTCATATAGTATTTACGATTAACACCTGACAACAAACGTCATGGGATATTAATTAATACGTTACAATGATTTTACACTAAAACGCGCGTGTAGCTTTGAAAAATTCAAACTGGTGCAGTGGATTAACGACGTTCTTTGAAATTTGTATTACCAGTTTGGGTCAGAGATCAACGCGCGTTCCGTGATTGTATTGTTCCGTCGTCAGGACAATCACAATCCGCAGCTCCTACGACAATCTGAATCGGTCATCTTGATAGAAACAGGTTAATTAACGCTCGAACCGAATGGGGTTACCTGGAACTGCTTCTCTCGAGTCGCACGCGTTTCACCTACGAGGAATTGCTCGCTTAGACAAAAGTATTCTAGCCACTTGTCAGACATGGTCTCGCGCATCAACGATACCCTTCGATCGCGATCTATCGCAATCGATTTTAATCGCAGGAACGGGAAAGCGACGTATGCATGCGTGCGCAACCGCGACCAGTCATGTAGTATATACATCGGTATATTCAGTACCCGCTGATATTCGAGCCTTCTGTAATCGTTACCGTGCCGTCGCAACAACTGTGCCGATGTTATGATTAATGATCAGCCACGTCCTTCGGATAGTCGTTCTCTCACGTTTCTGCTTCCGTATATTACACGCTGGCCACTATTTCTGACACAATTTCCTCGATTAATTATAGGCAGCGCGCGCGCGAAGTGGTAATTGCCGGAGACTTTCCCGCCACCTCGTATCTTAATGCAAGTGTCGTTTGTATCAAAATAGAAATTACACAGGTAATCTTTAAGCGCCAATTTGTTTCTTTCTTTTTTTTTCTCAACACGCTTCTTACTCTTTTTAACCTCTTTCGTACGTTTATTCGCCATTTTTAAAATTGGAGTCTGTAAAATGAAATTTGCTCGATTGATAATACCGACTGGAGCAACTGAAATTCGTGCGTTGAAAACGTAATTGTTGCCAAGTAGGCAAAGTTTTTGGAATTTGAATTTTTAATGATTGTTGAGTGGATAATATTGAACAAGAACAAGCAAAATTTGTGTTTTTATGCATATTGAAGATATTGTCACTGCTGGGTAGACGAAATTTTTAAAACTGGAATTCGTAACGACTGTTAGGTTAGTAATATCGGACACGACAGTTGAAATTCGTAATTTTTTAAAATTAGAATTCGTAATGGTTGCCAAGACGATAGTTGAACTATAATTATATAGTTCATCTATTTGCAAATATAAAAATATGCAAAATGCAACGATATAAGGCGAAAATACATGAAATACTCAAGATGATACAAAAATATAACAAATATAAGAAATACCCAAATATAATCTTGTTAGAATGTTTAATGATGGTAATATATGTATTTTTATTTACATCTTACAGTTTTAACTGCATAAACATTGAATTTATATAAACATACACAATCTAGTTTATATATACTATTGTTATTGCTAAATACGCGAAATTGTTATACATATACAAATATATATATGTATAATAACATATATATATATATACATGTGACCAATTTATATTTTTACAGTTAGATAATATTACAATTATATAATATTCTATATGATATTATGTATAATTATATATAATTATTATAATATAATATATGTTCTATTATATAGTAATATATTAATATATATTAGATATCAGAATATTATAATATAATATATAATTATATTAATAGTTATATATAATAATTTTATAATAGTTATATCTAGAGATTAGCATTTATCATAAATCTATACAAACATATAGAATTTAGAGTACTTGTTATCATAGTCCAATTAGCAAAATTAATAATTATAATTAATAGTTAGACATAGTTATTATCATGTGTGATAGGACAAAGATATAGTTTTTAATATGTTGATGTAATTTTTTATTCGTCAATTGAATTATTGCATTAACATTATTTTCTTGGATGATTTTATAACATATATCATTTGTTACAAAGCAGGAAATAATATTTATTTATACAATATAAATTTAATAATAATAATATAGAATGAAACAAAAGTAATATAAAAAATAGATTTATAAATATAAATACAAAAAAATTATTTACATTGAAATATTGCTTTCGTGATTCATTTGAATTTCAGATATAGTTTAGATATAATTTATTTAATGTCTAGACTGTGTTCCAACTGTTTCAATAAATCGTCTCACTAATTACGTGACTGAATTTTACGTTAATTATAGATTAACTTGTTACGAAAGTGTAAATTGCAAAATCAAGAATGAAGAGTGCCAAATACAACAAATAATGAATTCAAGGTAGTGTGTTTAGTGACGAAGGCTTCTTAGTCAGTCAGTTAGTCAATTGAAATAAATAAACAAAAAAAAAAAGAAAATGTTTAGATTGACAGTACATGCCAGGAAATATTATGTATTGAAAGAATAATGCAAGTACTTTGGTTTTAAGATATTGTATAGATTTCTACATATATTATTATATATCACATAAATTTTTAATATTATGAAATATTTAATTATTTAATTTAATTTAATTATTGAGGAAGAGAGATGTATAAAAATTTTTTATTGAATACACTGAATAATACTAAAATATTTAGTGAATACATAACAATATAATAGTATCTATCTAGTGTGTGAATAGCGCAATTCAATAGCTGTGCCATAATTTAGTGGCATGCCTCAAATTACAATTTAGCCTTGTTGATTAATAACAATTGGCCCTCGGTTATCGCTATCAAATCTGAAAGATGACTTTACTGATAAAGTTTGCTAACTGAAGTACGAACAGCTATGCTATAAATTCACTTTCCTAATGAACTCATTGTCAGTAATTCTAAGTAATAGCACTATAGCCAGACACTACAAATAGAGCAACTGTTACTAACAAACTGCTCCTTGTCTGTGAAACCTTTTTATCGAATGAATCAATGAAGCATGAATGTAATCTTCCACTTTTCGTTTATTGAATGAAGTACTCAGTAATCAGTACTAAATCGCCAGCCTTTTCCTTCAAACAAACTATTTGATATTAAATTTTATAATTTAGGAAAGAAAAAAAAAATTTAATAATATGATACCACGTGCAATAATAATTACATAGAATTGAAATAAATATCTAATAAGCTTAATATAGTGGTAGTAATATGTATGTACTTTTTATTTGATGTTTACTTAGAACTTATTATGAGTAAGTTATCTCTTATTGTTAGCGAGACATTGTTTTAGTTATCGAAAATAAAATTTACTTTAATTAAGCTGATTTAAATTTTACTTTTTGTGAATAGGAATGTTGATTTGATTCAAATTTTATTCAAGTTGTTTAAAATTTTATTTCTTGCGAATGTGAATATAATTTATTGAGTTTGGGCAAAATTAGAATTTTTTAAATTAGAAATTTGTATTAGAGTAAAAGTAAAAATTTATTTTTTGATAGAAATGGTGAAGAGGAGTGATACATATAGAAAATTTCGCGATTTAATAAGTTTATAAATAAGTTATGTCTAAAATGTTAACTTATTATTTTAGTTATTTATCCGAGTGTTGTCCTCCTCCGTGATTAATACATTTTGGTAACTTGATCTTTCGAAGAGCGTGACCCCTGTGCTTTTTTAAAAATTTAAATTTGATTAAATAGAGAGTGTTACACGAAATCAAATTTTATCTAGATCTATGAAAGGCTACATTATTTCTGTCAACGTTAAAAAAAAAAAAAATAAAGAAAGTCAATCAATTAATATTGGTTATCAAAATAAATTAATTAACATTATATAGTAAAGTAAATCAACGTTATTTCAGTAAATTGATTTTTTTGAAGATCGCAGTACGCGACAATATTCAATTTTATCCAGCAAATTTATCCTTTTATTCTTTTTAATTCGCGTTTTAATTTACAACGACATTGTAAAAAAAATCGTATGACCATGGTGTTGATTTCCCGTGGAATGGCACATACGTAACGATACCAGTGCTACTACCACTGGCACGTGACCTCGTTGCCTTAATCTAGCCCAGTCGTCGTCGGTCGTCGTACTCCTCGTGATCTTTCTGATCGGCCTCAGCGAGGTACACAGCCTCGAGAAGCGCCTTCAGCGAAAAAAAAAAAAAAGAAAAAGAAAAAAAAGAAAAGAAAAGAAAAGAAAAAAAACCCGATCAGAAATCGTTCCAGTATCTCACGGTAATTCGCTTCACGTTCGCGCATTCCGTCTGCCAAGGCAAAATATAATAAAAGAAAGAAAGAAAAGAGGAATAACGAAAAGGATTATGCGTCGACTTTCCATTCTTTATGGAATGCAATTTCATGATACGGACTTTCTATGCTCCTCCGCGCCTCTCACTTGGCTCCACCCATCCGGACTGATTATTATCGTTCTCGATCGAATCTCAACTTCTTCTTCGGCGATCTATCGGTGGAGAACGCTTCGGCCAATTTGATCCCTCGGTTTCTAGAGAACTCGAGTTCTGCAGGAATTGATAATTTCATTTTTATTCGTCTTGTTCGGCTCGTCGTTTTCAAACTTCTTGTTCCGAGTCGTTTTGTTCATTTTTTTTTTTTTTTTTTTTTTTTTTTTTTTTTGCGTTGGTTTGATAGTGGATCGCATTTTACTCGCGGCGATCAACCTCTGGTTCTTCTAGATTCGATTCGAGTTTTACGAGGAATGCTACATACATAATTACATTTTTAATTCTTCGGCTTTTAATTCTTTTCATCTTGTCAATCTGCACTTGTTCACAGTGATATTCGAGTCTATTTTGTTCATAATAAGAGCCATGTATTATAGTAATCACATGAATCAAGGAATGCAACATAATTTCTTTCTTCCGGCCAAATTATGATGATCAATGATAAGGCTGTCTCTGCAACATTTTTATAGTGATAACCTATGGAAATCACGTTTTCCGAGTTGTATCACTTTCTTTTTCACATTCACTATGAAATTATTAGGAATAACAAGATTTGTAACAAATGACATAGTACACATATTATTCCTGGTAAAAACTTAAAAGAGTATTTAAAGACATTTAAAAACGTTGTAGTCTTTTAGACATAAAATGTTATTGTATTTGTTTCAAGTACATGGAGAAATGAAATCGTTCTAATTCATTGTGTTTAAATACTTAATTTAATGAAAGTAGGTAATGAACACTTGGTGTATACTGGACTATAATAGATTGGTTAATCGTTTTGTGAATAAAAGAAATAAAAAAATAAAAAAAATGTTATAATTTGATTTAACGCGAATTATGTTTGTGCACGTGCCATGTATCATGTAGTTTGATAAAATTTCTTATGAAGCTTAATTAGAACATTCCGTTTCAATAATTGCCTCGAATCATTGACCGTAACGTGCGAACGTTTAAAATTAATTTATCTCTATAAATCTTTCTTTTTAACAGAGATCCTTTCTGTTCGTTTCTTTTTTGTTGTGTACAGTATCCTTTATATGTACGTACATACTACTTTAAACA